ACTAGTACCAAGTGACAATCAAGATCCTTAAGTTAGGGCTGGGGGGATAGCTCAGTAGAGTAAGTGCTTGCCTGGCAAGCACAAGGGCCTGAGTTTAATCCCCATGTTCCACAAAAAAAAAAAAAGAAAAAGAAAAAGAAAAAGAAAAAGAAAGAAAAAATCCTTAAGTTATACCAGTGAGAAAGAAAGATCATTGTCTTTATATTCTCATCAGGGGTAGACATAAATGTTATTTTAAAGAAATATTTAGAAGGTAAAAAACATACATTAAGAAAAGACATGGGGCTGGTGAGATGGCTCGGTGGTCTAAAGCACCTATTTAGAACAAGCTAAGCTAAGCAAAACACAGGGACCGCGGTTCAATCCCCCAGCACCACATGCCAGCCAGCCCCGCCCCCTGGTGGGCTGAGCTGGCCACACACACACAAAATAAATAAATAAATAAGTAAATAAAAAGACACGGTAGGGCTGGCCGGATAGCTCAGTGGATTAAAGCGCCTGTTGAGGCAGATGCAAGGGGCCAAAGATTTGATTCCCAGCCTGCTTGCTGGCCCTGCCCCTGGGTATATTGAGACTGGGTGTGATGGCACACCTATAATCCCAGTGCTTGGGAGGCTGAAAAACAGGAAGGGTCACTAAAGTCCAATCTGTGTAGTGAGACCCTGTGCTAAATACATAAAACCAAAAAAAGACATGGTAAGGGAGGTCAAAGGTGCTGACCTGTAACTTTATACGGAGTGAATAGAGCAGGTTTCATTATGGTGACTTCTGAAGGCTGGGAAGATAGCTCAGTGGCATAAGTACTTGCCTGCCAAGTGTAAGGTTCCATACCAAAAAAAAAAAAAAAAAAAAAAAAGTGACCTCTGAGCAAAGATTTTTAAAATTTTATTTATTTATTACAGGGTCTCACTACTCCTAATGATCCTCCTATCTCAGCCTCTGCAGCACTGGGATTATAGGCATGAGCCACCATGCCCAATTTTGGGGCAGCACCCCATGTGGAGGATCAAACTTGAGTCCTTGTGCTTGCCGGGCAGGTACTAGACCCATCTGGATGCTCCTCCCATGCCCCTGCCACTTAATTCCTTGACTTGATCTTCAGTGACTTTTCCTCCTGGCCACCCAGCTAGCTACTCCAGTACCTACACGGATTCATTGCTCTTGCCTGTTTTAACCTGCCCGGAAGAATGCAACAGCACGTTTCCTGAATCCTTGCCTGTCTTGTGGATGCTGCTGAAGCTCACATACCCCCTATCAATAATATACTAGTGCTGGGGAGATGGCTCAGTGGAATAAGCGTTTGCCAGGGAAGCGCAAGGGTCTGAGTTCAATCCCCGGTTCCGCAAAAATAAATAAATAAATAAATAAATAAAAGGGGGCCTGGCCCTAGCCCAGTCCTTTAAGTGGCTGCTTCCACAAAGCTGTCAGCCTCAGGCTGGAGTTTGAACCTCACAACTCTCCCGCTGGCCAAAAGTGCCCTGAAGTCATTCGAGGAACAACAACAACAAAAAAATAGTAATAATAATAATATACTAGTTCAGCCAATTGACTAACCCTGGCTTTCAGCCTTGCCTGGTCATTTTCTTGTACCCTCCTTGTCATCTTTCCCAATTACTACAGCAATCTCACACTTCCCAACAGTTTCCTGACCCCACTTTCAGTTACAGAACTGGACTCCTGCTTCTCCTCCACCCTATATGTACACACATCCATCCTCAGCGCTTCTCTTCCCATTACAAGGAGTCATCTCTCCAACTTCTGGGAAGGGCTGACCCCATTTCCTTTTGTAACCAAGGCAAAACCTTTCTCTAACAAGTTATGTAAACAGAAACCACACTGTAGTGGATTAAGGAGAAAGTGGAAAGTAAAAAATTATACACAACTAGTGCTCTCTTCTAGGCTTGGTCAGGCTTTCTCATTCCAAAGGCCTCACCTCTCTCTGGCTCCTTCCCTGCTATGCCTCCTACAGGATCCATCTGGGCCTTGTAGAGCCCAAGAGGGAGGGAAAAACGATCTAGAATTGCTAGCTATCCCTTTCTTAGTATGTAACTTATTTCTGGATTCTTTGAGATACAGACCCTGCCTTCCCCAGTGGGGTTTTGACCTCAGCTGTTTCCCTCCACAGTAACACTTTTATCATCCTGTGGCTCCCAGGTGGTACCTCAATGATAAGCAACTCAACTGGGAGACCCTTCTGGAGCTCAAGGGCCTTGAAATGTCTCCGTACTGGATCACTCCTTTAGCTGTTTCCATAATTATTCCATGTGATTCCTTCACCCTGGCCACAGAAAAAAATGGAGCAGGATGGAATACTGTCAAAGACCAATGGTCCCCTTGAGTCTGGCCCCAAAGATCTAGAGACCTGTAATACTGAGAAGTGCTAATGGCAGAAAACACACACTGCAGATGTTATGAGGAAAGGCAGTACATACAAGCTGAGATGGAGAAAACTCCTGAAGTACGGTTTTCTTTTTATTCCATGATTTACAAATGCCCAGAATTATCAAGGCTCAGTGTCCAGAAGTCCTGGTTTTATTGGCAAGACATATGATGGTTCTTTGGCAGGAATTATGACTATATAGCATAGTTTCTATGTATATATGAAGGGAATTTTTAAAATTGTGAACAGCATAGAACTTTATTTCTTGCTGGGAATGGTGGCCCACACATGTAATCTTACCACCTGGGAGGCTGACGTAGGTGGTTTGCTGCAAATTTGAGGCCAGCCTGGACTACACAGTGAGTTAAGAACTACATACCTGTCTGAAAGACAACAAAAAACTCCAAAATTTTATTGCTTAAAAGTATGCTGCTATACCTTAAGCTGTATGTGTAGAGCTTTATCATTTTAGTGCTTGAAAATAACCAATGAAGCTGGGGTATGGTGGTACATACACATCATCCCAGCCCTCAGGAGGTTGAGGTAGGATTGCCATGAGATGGAGGCCTGCCTTGGTGACACAGTCAGTTCAAAGCCAGCATGAACTATGTAGTGAGACTGTCTCAAAAAACAAAAGCAAGCAAACAAAAACCCACTGTATCTTCTAAATTTATTGTGTCAGCTCTTAGTTTTTTTCTATTTTTTTTATTTTAGGGAAGTGTCTACAGGGTGTTCAGGGTCTCACTACTAGATCGGACTCAGGGTGATCCGCTGGTTTACAGCCTCCCAAGAGCTGTGATTACAGGCTCACGGCCCAATCTCAGTTGCCATCTCAGTTAGCCGCAGGGGCAGGGCCAGCCCCTGTGCCTGCCTGCAGGCACTTTAATCTGCCAAGCTATCTGGCCAGCACTTCAACTCTCAATGTTAATGCAGTTGCTATATAGCACATTTTTTCATAAGAACTGCAATAATTGTCAACCAACAACCTGAACTATTTGAAAGGAGAATGGAGGTAAAGCCACCGCTTGCAGCAAGATGCCTGAATCGCCATAGCATCCTAATTACCTTTAGGGGTTTATGAGATGCTTCATGATCCACTGTATTTGAAGGGACTGATGGGGAAGTCAGAATTTTGATGTCCAACATTCTCTGAATACTTATCACCTGTCCTGCCTATCCTCAGGATCTTCCATGTCACTCACGCTGAACTGTCCTTGAAAACAAAGGATGTGGTGCTCAGTGGTAGAGCACTTGCCTAGCATGTTCAAGGCCCTGGGTTTAATACCTAGCACCAGAGGAAAAATAATAAAAGTTCTGACCTTAGCCTGCTGCTCCTGTGATCACCTCATCCTTCTTTAAAATCTTTATTATGGCTGACAGGTCACTTCCAGGTCCTCCTGAGGCAGGAGGATCACTGTGAGTTCAAGGCTGTCCAGATTAGAGTTTAAGGCCAGCCTGAACTACATAGTGAGACCTGGTCTCAAAAACAAAATAAAGGGGGCCAGGGAGATGGCTCAGTAGAATAAGTGCTGCCCTGGCAAGCAAGAAGGTCTGAGTTCAATCCCTGGTTCTACCAAAAAAATAAAAAATAATCCCTGGTTCCACCAAAAAAAATTTAAAAACAAAAATCACGGGGTGGGGGGTGGGACTGTGGGTTAGCTCAGTTGTTTAAGCACTTGTTTATGCAAATGCAGTCAGGCTCAGGATATTGCAGTTCTACCCACAGCTCCACATGCCTTACCAGATCTGCCCTTAAGGCAGCCTGAGCCAGCCAAAAAAAAAAAAAAAAAAAAAAAAAAAAATCCTTCGCCTGTAATCCCAGCTCTTGGGAGGCTGTAAACAGGAGAATCACTATGAGTCTGATATAGTCTGAGACCCTGAACACCCTGTAGACCCTTCCCTACAAACATAGGGAAAAAAAAAAAGCTCACATGAATCACAGGGATCAAACTCAGGACCTTGCACTCGCCACAAGGGAGGCGCTTATGTTCTAAGCTATCTCCCTGGTCGCCACAGAAATCTTGAGTTCCGACTTTCTCATGACTGGACACCCAGGCTGTGGGACTCATTGGATAAAACCTTGAGATCCATGGAAGACCCAAGTGACTCAACTCTGGAGTCCAACACTTTAATGCCTGATAGTCCTCTGCTACTGATACCTTTATTTCTTCCCTCAAGCACCTGATCCTGCCATAGTAGATCTGAGTTTAAGGCCAAAATGAAGCAGAAAAGCAGCAACAAGGGGTAAAAAGCCAGTAAAACCCAGAGAAAATATGGGACTGAACACTACCCATCCTCACCCTCCTTCAGTACCAGAGATTGAACCCAGAGCTTTCATACTGAACTACATTGGTAACCCTTGAGATAGGGTCTGCTGAATTTCTCAGATTGGGCTCAAACTTGCCTCCACCTCCCAGAGTGCTCGGATTACAGGCATGCCACTATGCCCAGCAACTGAGATTTTTAATTTATTTTTTTATTTTATTTATTTAGTTATTTATTTATTTTCAGAACTGGGGATTGAACTCAGGTCCTTGCCCTTGCTAGGCAAGCACTTATTCTACTGAGCCATCTCCCCAGCCCTGAGATTTTTTAAATGGTAAAAAAGCATTCACGAGTCATTTATAATAGCAATGAGCATTTATATAGCACTAGGTACCCAGGTGGTATCAAATTTATCACAATTAACTACCCTATGAGATAAACTTTTGTGTGTGGTGTTAAGGATTGAAACACAGGCCTTAATGCTAGGCAAATAGTCTATCATGGGGCTACAACCTGGCCCTGAGCCTTCTTATTAATACTTGGTCCTCCCAACACCTTCCCGTCTCCAACCCATTCACTCCAAGAGGGAAAAGGTAAGGACTCCCATCCCTTTCATCTCCTTTCCACACAGTAGCCAAGCAGAGGCTCATCAGATAAATGATAGAACCTTTATTTCCTAACTTCCTAAGCCTCTGCCAGAAGGCAGATGAGGTGTAGTGTATGTAGAAGGCAGAGTAAGCCCTTCTCAAGCAATCCAGAACTCAGCAGAGACCCCACACATGTTATTCTTTATAGTATTTCCCATATGCCAGAGGGAGCAGGACTTCTATGGACCCGGGCCTTGTTGGGGAAGTTGAGCTTCCTGGAAAAGGCAGTCATCCCAGATATTCAGGCCTAGAGAATAGCTTGGCTGGGCAGGTCTTCAGGAACGGTTGTCTCGTGGCCTTCTGTGGGGTCGGGAGCCACCGCTGGAGCTGGGCACAGAGCCCAGCCCAGGGGGTGCCCCTGGAGGCTGGTAACCACATTCACTGGGATCCAGGGGGTCCCGACTGAGCAGTACCCAAACTGCAGGCACATGGCGGCGTACTGTGAGGGGGTCTAGGCCTGTGTCAGGTGAGGTTGGAACCCAACTGTCCTCAGTCTGCAGAAATCGCAATTTGGTGAGCTGGTGCAGACCTGGGACTCGCCTCTTGACAATCTCTGCACAGCTGACAGCTTTCCCTGCAGCACGGCCAGAACCTGAGAATACCACATGCCGAGCACTGCCGCCCTCCAAGCGGCCCAGTGCCAGGCCCAGCAGGTTTCGAATTTTGCTGCCATCTCGAACACGCATCTCCAGTGTATCAGGAGGTAGCTGAGGCATTGGGGAAGGTGCTGGGAGCTCTACAGAGCCAGCTTTCCGGTAGTGCTCCATCCTGCTTGCTGCCCACTGCAGGAAGGCATCAGATCAATCAGCATTAGCCAGAGACCCAGGCCATTCTCTAGCCTCCCTCCAACCCATGCAGCCCTGCTTCTCAGGGGGGTCACACACTCCCACCCCCAGTTTCTCACCCTGGGGAAGAGGCTTAACCCTTACATTCCTGCTCCTCTAGTCAGGTCCTTAAGATCTCATAAATCCTGGAGTCCACGAGGCAGGACCTAATTCCCCCCAATACTGGGCTTTCTGCTTACTCCATCACCCCAAGATGCTCAGGACAGGGGTCCCCCTTTGGCCAGGCTCAGATCTCTCACCCTAGGCTCTCTGGGATCGAGAGTGCTTCTACCAGGGTTCATCACGGGCAGGGCTAAGGACCCCTCACGTTGTGCTCCCACAGTGCAAGGTCACGTCCATCTGCCCCAGGATCCCCGGGACAGAGTCTAGAGCTTTTACCCGTGACTCCGAGGCCAGACCCGACCCAAGGTCCTAGGTCTGGGCCAAGTAGCCTTGCCCCGAAATTACTTGGGTCAATTAGCATCAACCCAGGTCCCTCAGAAACCGGAGCAGGAGCTCGGGAGCGGGGTTGCGCGGGCCACTCCTGGCTGGCCTCGCCGCCTACATCCGCTTCTCCCAGGCGCTGCCAAGCAGCAGGAGCCCCCCGCCTCCGAGCGCCCCCATCCCGCAGACACCAGACGCTCACCACTGCCACAGACCGGGCACGCTCGAACCTCACGGCGCAGCCAAGATGGCGCGGGCCCGGAAGCGCGAGGAGGCCGCGGGGCGCGCACGCCGGGAGGGGCGGGGCGGGGCGGGAGTCGGCGGAGCGGAGCCGCAACCCGCGCAGTCCTCGCGGTAACCCGGGACAGCGCCCCGGGGAGGAGGGGGGCGGCCTTCAGAGGAGCCCTGCGTCTGCAGGCTGGGGATGTGGCCGGGCTGAGACCTCCGAAGACGGAAGGGCACAGCTACCCGTTGAGACCGCAGAAGCAAAGGGGAAACGAGCGGGACTGTCTGGCGGGGCGACTGCCCCAGCGCAGATGAGATCCTTAGTTACCAAATTCTGAGCTTCGGCCTCATCCCGTGGGCACTAGTGAACCACAGAGAGCTTTCAGCAGCGGGCGTCAACCACATTCTGTGCACCTCACTCTGAGGGTAAGGGGGACCTGCACCGCTAACGACCCTGGGAAGGGACTGTATCCCGCACCACCCCGACCAGCCTCACAGCATACAGCCACGGGGGTCGGGGGGCATGCTCAGAGTTTACTACGGAGCTCGTTGTGTGACACGCTGGTGGTGGTAAAAGGTTTTATTGAATTAATGAACCACAGAAACGGCGTAGGGAATAAAGATTAGATTGGGAGACTTAACAATTTGGGTGAACAGTTGTCTACTGTTTGGATAGATAAGTAGTCTAGAGTGACTGCCAGGTTTCAAACAGGTTTAGGTGCGCTGAATTTGAGGTACGCAGGCAGTTCCAAGTCTGGAGCCAAAACATTCCCTAAGACCAGGAGGGGGCGGCAAACACTTGGAGTACAGCGCCAATCTCATTTTTGTCCCTATTTTGTTATGTTTTCTCTTACCCCTCCTTCCCAACTTCTCTTCCTCTGAGCCTCAAACTTTCTCCATCCAAACCTCTTGGACTTCTCTTCTTAGCTAATGGTTACCAGGTGATCTCCAAAGAGTGCTCTCTGTGTATGTGCATATCCCTCGCTCTGAAAGTCCCTGCGTATCACCCATCAAGAATGTTTCCCCTTCAGTCCCTTATTGTTTCGTGCCTGAAAGGATCTTGTACCCACTTTGTAGGTCTCTTTCTTTTGTCTTTTTGAGACAAGGTCTCACCGCAGAATTCAGGCTAGCCTTGAACTCGTTTTTTCTAAGTCTTGTCTAGTTTATTTTTTGTGGTACTGAGGATAGAACTCAGGACCTTACACTTGCCAGGCAGGCGCTTATGCCACTGAGCTATCTCCTCAGCCCTTGAGCTCACTTTTTAGCCCAGGTTGGTCTTGAACTTGCAAGCATACTCCTGCCTCAGCCTTCTCAGTGCTGGGGTTACAGGCATGTGCCGCCATGCCCTACTAGGACTTCACTTTTCTTTGATTGTCTCCCTTGATACCTTGTACACTGTAGATGTTAGGTGTCCCTAATGTGTCTTCCCTACCTGGCATAGCATCTAACTTGGTAACCATGGGGCAAATGGATACATAAATGCATGTACTAATCACAGTAGTCACATGAGAGCCTTCATCGGGAAAGCTGTATACCTCCCTCCTATTTCAATAGGCAGGTTGGCAGCTCTGTACCATCAAGGTCATCATAGACCAAGAAGCCAGCACACTCCCCCCAGAGATCTCTATAGTTTATTGTCACTGGAATAAATACACTGATAGAGAAGGATCTGCAAATCACAATTTCCAGGTAACTAGACCTCTGACCTTAGAGCCCCACTGGAGTGCAGACAGGTGGTCCCTGAATCCAATAAATACAAAACTTTCTTTGCCTTGACAGATTGGCACAGAGCCCAGGAGCCTGGCCGCTCTGGGATGGGGAGTAGCTGTCACTCTTCTGCTGGCTTTACTTGCTTGGCAGCCTCTAGCTGGCAAAGTAGCTCGTCCCACTGCACGAACTGCTTAGAGAGAAGCATTGTCTAATTACAGGTCAAGGTGAGACCAGAAAAGACTTTTACATTTGCCAAAAGGGGTGTGGGTGTAGGAGCAAGGAATAAATAGGTCGGTTGGGATGGAATGGAATGAGATGAAAAGAGCCAGAGTTGTGACAAAAAGGAAAGAGCTTGGGGATTGCACCTGTTAGGGTACGCAAAAAGGATACAATCTTGTTGTACTCTTCCAGAAGAGCCTTGGACTCCTCAGTGATCTCCATACATTGGTCCTATAGGCCCACAGTGATAGGAAAAGAAGTTGGACAAAACTCCCTTCTCAAATTAACTTCCTGCTTCACCAATGCCTATAAAGCCTAAAAAAAAATGATGTTTAAACCTAGAACATGCAGGCCCTGCCCTCAGGGCACACTGAGACTGCAATTGAGACTGGGCATGGTGGTGCGTGCCTGTAATCCCAGCTCTTGGGAGGCTGTCAACAGGTGGCTGACCATGAATCCAATCTAGTAGTGAGATCCTGAATGCCCTGTAGACCTTTCCCTAAAATACAGAAAAAAATAAACCTAGAACAAGAGCAAATTGCCAAACAGGCACTTTCAGGCTTCAGAATGGGTGTCCTAACAGCAATCCAAAGACTGATGGGAAGGGAAATAGGTTACCCATTATGTAAACTTTCCTTTTAGTATGTTTTTTTCTACTCTGTATTTTTCAACTTCTTCGAACCTGAAACTAGGGCCTCAAAAAAAAAAAAAAAAAAAAAAAAAAAGAGAAGACGAGGGGTTGGGGGGAATCCTCCATCCTCCAGCTATAGTCAAGGATATAACATACCCAGGATTTGTGTGTGTATGTACCACTGGGAATTGAACTCAGGGCCTTTGCACTGAGTTACATCCCCACTCCTTTATGGTTTTTTTTTACATTTTGAGGCAGGGTCTTGCCCTCTTGTCGAGGCTGGACTCAAAATTTGTGATTCTCCCACCTTTGGCTCCCAGAGTTCTGGGAAAACTTGCCTCCTAGGAATTCTAAACTTTAAGCTTCTGGTGTCTTAAAGTAGCCCTACTCTGGGAGGCAGGAGGCTTAGATGTGACCATAGGCAAGTCCTTTCCCCATGTGATTTTTTTTTTTTTTTTTTTTTTTGCGGAGCCGGGGATTGAACTCAGGTCCTTACGTTTGCCAGGGAAGTGATTATTCCACTGAGCCATCTCCTCACCACCCCCCCGCTTCCCCTTTTGAGATGGAAACATGAAGATAAAGGATAAACCTCCAAGTTTCTGAGTAGAAAGGCCTTAGGCTCCTTCCACAAGTGGCATGAATGGGCAGGAGGTGCCTTGCCACCTCTGCTTTCTTTTCCAGCCCTCTCCCCTCCCATACCTGCTGCTGGATGTGGATCTGGGCCAAGTGCTGCAGGCGGGCGGCATGCTCAGGAACAGCTGTAAAACATAACACACACTGCCTGATGATGCTTGTGCCCTCCCCTGGGACTGCTCAATAGTCTATTAGGTCTTCCGCAGGATTAGAGTATTGAGTGGAGAAGCTAAACAAACGCTAGGCTTCATCGACCACTATAGCCAGAGGGAGGGTGGTTCCCTGCCCACCCTACCCTTAACTCCAGGACCCATAGGGGAAGGGAAGAAGAGGTGTACAGGGGAAAAAAAAGAAAAACCTTGCTGTCCCCAGTGTTGCCCTTACCCCACCTAAGTATATAAGCAGAGCCAGGTAAATGCAGCTTTCTTTATTTCTGCGCTTTTGCTCTAGGTCAACCTGGCCTATGGAACAGGAAGCCTGTAGATGGACTAAGGACATATGTCACACCCCTAAACTTGACACTTGGAATCCAACATCCAGAGTCCTGACCACCACGTTGGCTCCACAGCCAATGTGGCTGTCAGACACTCTGGGTAGCTGAGTAGGGGAAGGGAGGGGGAGCTGGGAAATACACCTCCAGAGACAGGCAAGATGGGTATCTGGATTCAATTAAAGCTACTGCTGCTTGTCAAAGCTGAGGCCCAAAGACTCTCTCAGGAGTGCAGCAGGAAAAATTCACATACCTGGCAGGGTGGACAGTAAAAACTGGGTTCTGGAACACCCTGAAGGACAGATGCTAAAGGGGTGGGGTACAAGGTAGAAGGAATTCCCAGATTTGGGGCCGCTAAGGTCCTTAGGCCCAAACTGTCTGAGGTTCTGAAACTAGATTCTCCATCCTGGGAATTTTAATCCTAGTGCAGGTAGAAGGAACCCCCTGCAGGGTGGAGAATAAAGAAAACCCAGCTCAGGCAAACCCAGCCTGAGCCCAAAGAACCCTAGGCACAGAGAAGTCTTTCTTATCCACCCACCTCCCCAATCAGCATGATAGAGCCAAGTCCCAGAGAAGTACCTTTAATGGAAGCACTGTCCAGCATGGGTACCAGGGCATTCACCTGCTCCAAGAGTGCAACCTGGGAGAGGATAAACTGCTCCTCTGAAGCATAAAGACAAAGAGTAGCAATGAAGCAGGCCTGGCACTGTTACCCCTGGGCCAAGCATCTGGCAGGGGGATGGTGAGGCCCTGGAGCTTTAGGAGTAATCTCACTGGCTTTTTCTCTAGGTACACATTCCCATCCTGCCCCACCTGTCCTGCATGCCTGTCTCTAACACACCTGGAACTTATATTAGTCTCTAACAACTCAGCGTCATAGGCCACAGGAATCTTGGATTCCAGGGCCCCCCAGAAAGCTCTAAAAAAGGATCCAAGTAGCAGATTATACCAGGCAGGTCCTGCTTAGTGGCTCTCAGAGGTAGAGACAGTTATAAATGGCAGAAGACCTGAGACAGCAGTGAGAAAGGCCAGTGAGAAGAGTAGGTATGGTCTGGACTCTGTATACACACAGAGAGTTCAGTGCACTGAAATCCAGCAAGGCTTAGTGTCACACTTGTAATCCTAGCCACATGGGAGGATACAGCAGGAGGATCTCAGTTGGAGGCCAGCCTGGACATCTTACGCTGACTCTGGGCTAGGGATGCAGCTCAATGGCAGAGCCCTGGCTTAGCATGAGTGAGGGCCTGGGTGCAGTTCCCAGTGCCACAACAAAAGTACAATAAAACCCACTTAAATTCATGGAGTGAGCAGATATTTGAGAGAGGACTGTTACATGTAATATTTGTCAATTAATATTGGAAAAAACTTCAGTTGGCTGAACTGGAGCAGGGCAAACACAAGGAGCAGAGCTGGATGGAAGGACAGGCCCAGCACACTGGACAGCTTTAAAGAGCAGGCTAAAGATTTACAATTTAATCATAGTAAGGAAAGGAGACACTGAGGTTTGAAGTAGGCAAGTGACATGCTGGAAACACTCTGTAAAGCTGAGACTGGACCAAAGGCTGGAAGAGATAAGATGAAAGTCAAAATGGTAATTTAGGAAACAGCAACATTTTGAGTAAATGTCCACTCCTTGAGGTAGTGCCACGGGGAGGAACGTGGTGGCTGGGCTCAAGCGTCAGTGTGGGAGATCTCGAACTTGGTGCTGTTGCCATGGCACCTGATCAGGAGCCCTCTAGGGACCCTGACAGCGCCTTCCACCAGAGGCTGCCCCTCTTTACCCAGTCCTTAGGGTTGTACTGCACAGACAGATTATAAGACAGGTTTTAGGTTCCTAAAGCAGAAACTTTTTCTTTCTAGCTCTGGTTGTACATATGAAGGCAGGAACTTTCTGGATTTTCATTATTTGTGTAAAGTCCAGGATAAAGCCTGGGTCATAGTAGATGATCATTAAATGTCTTTTTTGGAGGGTCAGACAAGTCTTGCTGTGTCATTCAGGCAGGCCTCAAACTTAGAGCACTCCTCCTGCCTCAGCCTTCTAAGTGCTGGAATTATAGCTATTCATCACTATACCTGGCTATCAGGTCTCCTCCCCACCCCCTACCCCACACACACATACCTTTTTAAGACAAGGTCTCACTAACTTACTACTTGTTCAGGGTTGAACTTGTGATTCTCCTACCTCAGCCTCATGAGTAGCTAGGATTACAGGCATGTGCCACCAGCCCCAGCTGAATATTTTCTACATCAATGAGATAGCTCAGTAGAATAAGCACTTGCCTGGCAAGCGCAAGGGCCTGAGTTCAATCCCCGGTTCCACAAACAAACAAACAAACAAACAAAAGAAATCAGTGAACAAACACAGCTGCTTATAGATATGGAGTGGCTAACTGGTATTCCTGTCTAAAACCCTGGAATTTCAGAGATTTCTCACATGAAAGAAAGATGCTGGGGGGAAAAAAAAAAAAAAACCCTAGGAATGTGCCTTCTGGGGCCGGGGAGATGGCTCAGTAGAATAAGCGCTTCCCTAGCAAGTGCAAGGGCCTGAGTTCAATCCCCGGTTCTGCCCAAAAAAAAAA